ACGATGAAAGTACCTTGAAAAGTGTGCTTTCATTAATCTATCCCAACCCAAATCCATCAGAGTAGAAACGTGACGACGAAAGTACCTTGAAAAGTGTAAATTTCATAAATCTATCCCAACCAAATCCATCAGAGTAGAAACGTGACGACGAAAGTACCTTGAAAAGTGTAAATTTCATAAATCTATCCTAACCAAATCCATCAGAGTAGAAACGTGACGACGAAAGTAGCTTGAAAAGTGTAACTTTCATAAATCTATCCCAACCAAATCCATCAAAGTAGAAACGTGACGACGAAAGTACCTTGAAAAGTGTGACTTTCATAAATCTATCCCAACCAAATCCATCAAAGTAGAAACGTGACGACGAAAGTACCTTGAAAAGTGTGACTTTCATAAATCTATCCCAACCAAATCCATCAGAGTAGAAACGTGACGACGAAAGTAGCTTGAAAAGTGTAACTTTCATAAATCTATCCCAACCAAATCCATCAAAGTAGAAACGTGACGACGAAAGTAGCTTGAAACGTTTGCTTTAATAAATCTATTCCAACCAAATCCATCAAAGTAGAAACGTGACAACGAAAGTACCTTGAAAAGTGTGCTTTCATAAATCTATCCCAACCAAATCCATCAAAGTAGAAACGTGACGACGAAAGTACCTTGAAAAGTGTGCTTTTATAAATCTATCCCAACCAAATCCATCAGAGTAGAAACGTGATGACCAAAGTACCTTGAAACGTGTGCATTCATTAATCTATCCCAACCAAATCCATCTGAGTAGAAACGTGACGACGAAAGTACCTTGAAAAGTGTAACTTTTATAAATCTTTCCCAACTAAATCCATCAGAGTAGAAACGTGACGACGAAAGTACGTTGAAAAGTGTAACTTTCATAAATTTATCCCAACCAAATCCATCAGAGTAGAAGTTAGAGCTATGATTTGATTCAAATTAATGATACCTACTCACATATATCACATATAAAATTGAGTTATACGCGACGTTAACACACTTTAAAATACGACGACTCCCCAGGTTTAAAAAGCCTGCTCGAAATATCGTGCTGTGATCTCGCAATGATCAGTTGGAAATGTGCAAGCCGAATCTCAGACAATTTTAAAATATAATGGAAATATATCTACAAATTTATATACAGAATTTAGTGATGGTTCAAAAGGGTCCCAGCGAGTTACGATTGCTCACAGTAGGTTACTAATAAAACAAAAGTGTGCTTACTAAAAAAGTAACCGTGCTCACGGGGACAACTCTGTTTACCAGAAGAGACAGCCACCTGGTTAGAATTAATGTAATTACAAGTATACAAACAAATATATCACAACGTTCAACACGGGACTCACTCACCAAAATAGATGAACACATAACACCGTATTTATTACTTGTAAAAAATTGTGTTATTTCAGAGGACGACTTATTCATAGCACGTCCGAATACGTATAATTGTTATGTAGCTGGATGGGGAGCTTCAAACCAGGCTGAGAGTAATGTTGATGCTGGTAACCCGTCATTGGTACTAGGTCAAATACAGTTACCGATTATAGCAACCCAAACGTGTCGGGAAACTACGCATCGTGTAATAACAGATAGAATGTTATGTGCGGGATACAGGTATGGTGATATATATATATGTTTGTTCAATGTTTTTACTTATATACATATACTTTGAGCAAACTTTCCATTTCTGTGGGTTCAAGGGTCAAGCCCAATAAACAACAAATGAAAATCTACAAAATACACAGCTCCTTTGATGACGTTCCTTTGGTTCAAATCGTGCCTAATTCAGACCCATTCGATTGGTCTGTATTATAAATCTTTTAGATTTAAAAAGGTTATATATAAATCTAATACCTGTTGATATTTCAATTAAACTACTATCGGTTCTGATTAGTTGCAATTCAATTAAAGTAGAAGTACTTGGAGAAGAGTGATTCCAATGCATTCCGCTTATAAAAGCGCTAACTTGTAGAATCATTGTGATAGTGACTTTAATGCAACAGGAAAGAGACTATACGTTATATTGATATTGACACAGTTATTTATATCAATTTTATTTTCCACAGATTCAAACCACGGGATGCTTGCCGAGAAGATTCCGGTGGTGCATTGATGTGTAGACGGAATGATGACACATTCACGGCTATTGGTGTGGTTTCATGGGGTGAGGGATGCGGTGAACTAAATAATTATGGTATCTATACCAATGTTTTGAAGTTTGTTGACTGGATCAATGAAAATACTGAAAGCTGTAACACAATTCATCAACGACCAAATGAAAATATTGCTCAGGAAGAAGAGAAGTGACCGATCCTATAATAATGTTATAACTACAGCCTTCTTCAGGATTCAGAATTCCCTGATCATCCATTAAATATTAACCAGAACATATATTGTTATTAAGGTTATCTGTATTGGCCATACGGTGCAGTTTTAATTGACCTTATTTGCAAATGCTAACCGAGATATCGCTGAGAGCGAGAGAGACGCAAGTATAATACCAGCTGACGTTAGAATTGAACACTGTTTGCTGTGGGGAGGTGGGTCTTGTGGTTCTCGCGCACTAAGCGAGATCTCAGCGGCCATTACCGTCTTACTATACATTTATTTCGTTTGTGAAAAGAGGTTACAATATTTTCGGTCATCAAGAAAATGCAGTTTTCTGCAGAGATCGGTTTTGCATCACGTTGAATGTGTGCTGCATTTTAGGTATCCATGTTCAATGTCAAAGTTTACGAAATGTTTGCAGAATATGCCAAACGTATTTTGCATTAATTCTGACTTGGAAGACAAATAACACAAATATGTCACAGTGGAATCAATGTGTATGTACATTGTCAACATCCAGTGTATTAAGCAATCGTAAAAGTCATTCAATGAAGCCACATTTCTTTTGCATCAACATAGCAACCAACGACTCTATCAGTTGTTTTAATAATAGCAATATTAGACACTGTACAACTTATTCAATATTCGTTGTAGTATTTTATTTCATATAAGCAGCATAAGATAGGACATGTTGGTTTATTTCAAGATATTCACTCATAAGTGTGTTATTCCACAATCAAATATGTTTATGCATATCGTTGTACTTTACTCAAGATAATCAGTTTATATGCTTAGAAATATAATCTTATTGATTATATATTGTTTTTGAAAATATATTATGGCATCAATAAATTGATAACAAGATAGGAATGAAAACATCTGTCAGTTAATTGTCTCTCTGTCGATATTTATGTTTGCCCATCTGTGCTCCAAATTCATGTGTAAGGATCGCCGAATACAATAATCATGTTTAGTGATCCCATCATGCAACGTGCATACAGTTATACAAGTACAGTAAAATACATACGTGTATACAGGAATAAACCCGGTAACATGTATTTGATTATACAGGAATAACGTAGTAACATGTATTTGATTATACAGGAATAAACGCAGTAGCATGTATTCGATTATACAGGAATAAACCCGGTAACATGCATTCGAGTATACAGGAATAAACCCGGTAACATGTATTCGATTACACAGGAATAACTTAGTAACATGTATTCGATTATACAGGAATAAACGCAGTAGCATGTATTCGATTACACAGGAATAAACCCGGTAACATGTATTCGATTATACATGAATAACGTAGTAGCATGTATTCGATTATACAGGAATAAACGCAGTAGCATGTATTCGATTACACAGGAATAAACCCGGTAACATGTATTCGATTACACAGGAATAACGTAGTAACATGTATTCGATTATACAGGAATAAACGCAGTAGCATGTATTCGATTATACAGGAATAAACCCGGTAACATGTATTCGATTATACAGGAATAAACCAAGGTAACATGTATTCGATTATACAGGAATAAACCCGGTAACATGTATCTGA